TTATAAAATATCGATTAAACTTAATAGATTACAATAAACACATCAAACATATTATATATATATATATACGGCATAACACATACAGTGGATACATTTTCACTACTTATGAGTTTAAACGATTGTCTGTGTACGTTCTGTTTCTTTGTCTGTGACAAAAGGAGTTTCAGTCAGGGCAGGAAGCAGGTGGTCACAAGACATGTGACAGTCACGCTGTATAGATCCCGTGTTTGCGGGCCTGAGGGCATCAGTTAATTTACTCATCCTTTTCCTGTTTGGACATAATAGTTCCATCCATTGGTGGTCACAAGACATCGTGGTTTCTATATGTTGTGAACGAACCTTTCCAGTCCTGATACACAGAAAGCTTTGTTGTCTCCTGATTGGATTAATCTTTAATCACTCCTCTGAGTGGATGACGACAAGACCGGCAGGAAGTCGACCCAGAATATTGGAATCATGTGCTGGGTGATTAGCAAACCTCATGATGGCTGATAGGGGCATAGCAGTAGTGTCCGTATATGATAGAAATCCCTACAGTGGAGTGGGATTTTTGGTTGGATTTTGAGTATTTCTTCATCATCCTCAGCCCTCAGCCACTCAGGCTGTCCAGTCGTCTTCATCTCCCGTCAGTCCCACAGTGTCACCTCCTCTCAGTGGTGGGGCTCCAGCTCGGGCCTGCCGGGAGTCTAAGTCTCCTGGACCTGAGGAGCCTGTGGCTCCGCCCCTGGCCTCGGATGGCTCCGCTCCACCTTGTCCCGCCCTCCTGACTCCTGCACCTGCGCTCCTCCCACCCTCAATTCCAGCATGGGCCATTGGCCATTCAGCCTCGCGGGGCTCCCTCGGTCAATCGGCCCCACCTGGGTCGGACGTCGCCACGCCTTCGCTGTGGACTTGCGGGCAATCTGCTACTCTCCGACCCTCCACCCCTTCGGCTCTGGCAAGCTCTGCCTACTTCCTCAGTCACTCCAGCTCGCCCTGTGGCCTCTTGATCCCCACCTACATCTCGGGCGATCGTCGCTACGGCTCTTTTTCTTCTTCTTCTTGAAAACTGAACTTGAAAAATGACTGTTTGTTATTGTCCTCTTTCATTATTGACAAACTTGCATTTTTTTCCTGTTTGCCACTGTAAAGCTGCTTTGACACAATCTGTATTGTATAAAGCACTTTACAAATAAAGGTGACTTGACTTGACTTCTTTGTAAATGCCTTAATCAGCAGTGGGGGGTGGGTGACATTAGTATTACTGTCAGACTCTGTTCCATGTTTTGTCTGGGTCTTGCTCCCCAGGTGTTCCTTTCCCATGTTTAATTTGTCCCAGGTGTTCCCCATGATGGTTCATTGATCCCAGGTGTGTCTCGTCATCCCCTCCTCCTGTGTGTATTTAAAGTGTTCCCAGTCCCTAGTTCTCTGTCCGCTGTTGTACGTCTTCCTGTGAACGTCTTCGTGTGAACGTCTTCCTGTGAACGTCTTCCTGTGTTCGTCTCCCTTGGTTCCTTGGTGGTAATAAAGTCCTGTTAAACGTATTCTCCAGCATCTCCTCGATTCTCGTGTGTGTGCATCGTGACAGAACAGCGGACCGAACTGTAAGCGGCATCCCTTCCCCGTATTTGATTTCCGGTTTTTGTAAGGTTTTGTTTTGCCCTTTTTTTCCGTGCGCTCCTCCACGTCCCCATATGGAGGAGCGGTTCATTGATCCCAGGTGTGTCTCGTCATCCCCTCCTCCTGTGTGTATTTAAAGTGTTCCCAGTCCCTAGTTCTCTGTCCGCTGTTGTACGTCTTCCTGTGAACGTCTTCGTGTGAACGTCTTCCTGTGAACGTCTTCCTGTGTTCGTCTCCCTTGGTTCCTTGGTGGTAATAAAGTCCTGTTAAACGTATTCTCCAGCGTCTCCTCGTTCCTCGTGTGTGTGCATCGTGACAATTACATTGCAATCACAGAGTACTGAAAATAGTATGTATTTAATTTAGGGCTGCCCTCAACTAAATATTTTTATGGTAGACTAGTAATCGTTCATTTTAAGCTTTAGTCGACTATTAGTAGCACATTTATTAATAAACCAAATACATCATAATAACGAGCCTTTAATTGCATAAAGCGCTCAAGCGCACGGAAAAAAAAAAAGAAGCTTGCCACAGCTTACCGGCAGAAATAATAATTATGAATGTGTCTGGGAAAAACAGCAAAGAGACTGCATTAACATTTTAAAAATGTATTGATAAACTAGCCTCCACTCTCCACAGTGATGCACCTGTATGCATGTTTCATACAAATTACATAATTTGAAAATATTTGTTTTCTATTTGAATTGATTCATTAAAAGTAGAGATTTCAGTCTTTATAGATATTTTTTATGTCTGTAAAGGAAAGATAGCCTATACACGGAGTTTCGCACTCAAGTTCACAGAGACCAAGACGGCAGAAAGCGCATCCTGTTTGCTTTAATTCCTTTACAGATTCTAAAGATGTATTCCTCCTATCTGTATGAGCAAAAATGAGGGAGTATTTTGAGCAAGTGAGCACACTAGCACCTCCTTCTGTCCTTCAGTGAGCGCTATTCTTCAGCTTCCACACTCTGCACAGACACTTCAGTAGCGCACATTTCTCTAACATTAGATTGAGTGGCCATGTAAAGTTGCAACTACATACATCTTTCAGATGAATAGCCATATTTGAGGTCGATGAATGATAGGCCAGCATTCGGATGTCCTGCCCAATGTACTGTATTACCACAAAAACCAGCCGTTAACGATCTGTCTGTCACGGACTGTGTGACCTCACCACTTCCTGTGGATTTTTTTTTCTGCGATTAAGTGACTAATAAAATTTTGGTCGACCAAGCCTCTTCTCGTCGACTAACGTTTAGTCGACTATTAGGGGGCAGCCCTAATTTTATTTTGTGTTATAGACATTGTATTACATTTTCTTATTATACCTGCCGTGTGTGCTTGTATGTATCTGGAATCTCTGTGTGTAAAGGCACAGTTTGGAGAGGATTGATAGGTAACAGGAAATTAACCCCTCCCCTCTCTCTCTCTCTCTCTCTCTCTCCCTCCCTGTCACCTCCCTTCAGCTCCCTCCCTCTCTTCCCCACGTTCCATATCTGAGGTCATTTCAAATCCAGAAGTTCCAAGCATAGAGAACATCTGTGTTAGAGGGTAGACAAAGACCTGAGCAGCTCGGAAGACAAGCAACGGAAAAGCAAATGGAAGGAGAGAGAGAACAGTGACAGCAGATATATTCATCGAACGATTGTCTGAAGTGAAATCATCCTGCCTGCTCAAGGGAGTGAGGGGCACAGGGTGAGAGGTGGGCGGATGCACACTCTCTACTCTCTTGCCCTGCGTTTTTGTTGCCCCTTCCGCCAACTTCGTCGCTCCTCTCCACCACCACAACCTCTCATTCCATCATCTGTGCCTGCTTCAGGCGCAAGTACCTCGTGGTGTGTCTGTGGCATGGAGAAAGAGAGGGAGGATGAAGAGACGGAGGGGAGGGAGAGACCAGAGCCGCTGACGGATGTGGAGCGGGGCATCATTCAGGACACCTGGGCGCGTGTTTACGAGAGCTGTGAGGATGTGGGCGTCACTATACTGATCAGGTGCAGTAAATTTACTAAAGAATCAACCAATAGGAGTCTTGTGTGTTTTTTGTTTTTGGCGTAATTTTATTTTTATTTTTTTTTATTTTGCATCTTTCTGTCAAAATCTTTGTAGTCTTTAATGTGTTTTTGGAAACGTGAGGCTTGCAGTTATCAAAATCAGTATTTTTCAAAAGCATTAAAGACATTCTTCCAGTTTTTGCAATCATCTTATTTTATAATGATGTCTTTTTTTCTGTTATCAGATGTGTTTCTTGTACATTTGAAAATGCAGCATGTGAAGCTGTATGGTGGGCAGAGAAGAATACTTGGCAAGCAGATTAAATGTGCATGATGGTTATTCTAGCATATAGGGAAAAGCCGCTGGCATAAAACACGATACAATAAAGACATACATGAAATACATGATTTGAAAAGAAATATAGATAATGTATTCCTAAAATCTTATTCTTTTTTTTTTTCTTTCTTTTTTTTCCTGTCAGAGCTGGCATTCTCTAAATTAGATTGATAATGGACGGATGTTCCACGACATCTTTTTCCGCATGCTTTTTCTCATTGTGAAAGCTTCTCCAACACACACCATCGAGCAAATCTATCCTTCTTTAGAGCTCCTATTTTTAACACTCACCTAATTGAATATAGCAGTTATAGAAATACATCTGCTACAGTATTTCCTAAACCATGCAATACCATTGTATGGTTTCTAGTGTAATACTGTAGATTCTGTCAGAATGCTGTACATGCCAGTGTAGAACAAACAGTGGCAGATTTGACAAAAATATCTATTAAAAACATAATTAATTAATACATATACATATAACTGAGCACATACTTATACGAACATACATTTTAAGTAGGCAATGCCTACAGGACTCATTAAAATAGAATGCTTTAGGTTGCCAAGACAACTGTCAGGGATAATTTTGTGATTTTAGGTCATTAGACTGTGTGTGTGTGTGTGTGTGTGTGTGTGTCTGTGTGTGTGTCTTATCTGTGGATTTCAGTAACCAGTGTTGGCACTCTATAATGTCTCTCACTCTCCTTTTGGCCACATAGAAATTGTTTTCCTTGGCACCTTCGGTATGCATCATTCAGCTTTCTCTATGTTAACTTTATAAAAACTGTAGACTGTGTCCTGTCTGAGTAGTCTATGAACTGTTCAAACATATGCACCAGATCAGATTTAAATGTTTACATTTGAACAACTATAATACAAGAAACATTTTAGATTACAATGAGAATGTTAACATCCTATTTTAAATGAAATACATTTATAATTACCATTTATGTACATGTAGCTGATTTTATTCATTTAACCCTCAATATTCATACTGTTCTGAGGCTGTACTCCTTCAGCCTCTCAAGACAATTCTTCTTGAAATCACTTGACAATAAAAATGAATTGGTGGCTATTTTAAAATTTCATGCATAATTGTGTAACAACATGTAGTTTTCACATACTTTTACACACAATATTAAATGTTCTTATTAATATTATGTATGTTACACATCATCATTTATGAACCTAAGTGAGGCAAAATACTGTCTTTAGTGTGCTGCAGTGTACGGGATTATGTCCCAAAGACAAAACATTTTGTTTCTTGTTACGTGAATAGACTGTTGTTTGAAAATCTTGACATAAGGCCAAAACATTGTCTAACAATAATCTATGAACATCATCTCTGCAAAACAAAGTGATTAAACCATGAAGCATTTGACATATTGTTTAGTACTAGTCCATACCATAAATGACTGTGCATCCAGCACAGAGCTTTAAATGATTTTATTTGGATTATTAATCAATAAGATATGTAAAACCTTTCAGCACTGATTAAAAAAAAAACAAAAAACATGTTATTCCTAATATGGATTATATTAATGAGCCTTTAGATAACCGTCCTTATAAATTCATTCAGATTCAGGAGGGAGAGTTACACAAGCACAAGCATAAGCATAAGATGTTATCCTCCAGCTGCACACTTAAGGGTTGTCAAGTATGCAAAGTGTTGCCTACTGCTCAAGGAGGAAGGCAGCAAAAACACTGGGTTTAACAGCTACAACTTTCCGTATTCTGACATGGTAGCACAGTGCTCATATCTTTCAGGCTAAATGTGCAGCTTGCATGAACCATGTTAAATCTCACTGAACAGTGCAGCATTTGTTATACTCTTGAGCACACTGTTGGGCTCAATGTCTTTCTAAGAGAGCGAAGTGACAGCTGCGGAGGTTACGCATGGTCAGCTATGAGCTGTCACACATTTTCATCTCCAGTGATGGGATCCAGGATGCCCTTTAGTGTACTGGCCAAAGGCTAAAGCTAATAATGTCTCCTGTTTGTCTTAGTGGCATAAATGAGCATCCAGAGAAGTGAATCAAGGTCAACATGAAGTTAGCAGTATATTTTTGGACTCTGAGAAAAGGAATACTAGGTTAATAGATTTATTCACAGGAAAAACATCAGTTGTCAGCAGAAAGACTCATAATATCCTCATCAGTTAAACCAAGTTAAAATCACATCACATGCACAGTGATGCTATGCAGTGATGTGTTTATAGGTTCAAAATCTCCAGCAATCAGCATCAACTTTAAGAGAAAGCTAGAGGCGATGATCTTAAAACTGTAATTAAAACTGGTTACTAGGACAACCATGGGGAATACATACTGTAATTAATAGTGTTAATAACATATCCATCACACCAAGACTATGGTTTTCCATAAACAGTAAGGAATAACATTAAATGTACACCACTATAATATTTTGTAGGCTGTGCATTCATGCTTTCTCAGTACAACAAATAATTTCAAATAATTTACACAAACATAAAGCATTTTGAAGTATTGTTACCAATACCTGTTTCAACAGACTTGATCATTGATACATATTCAGTAGGGCTGGGTAAAAAATATTTTATATTATATCAATTTTACGAAATGATATCCCTGAATCGATTCTTAATGTGTGTGCTTTACTTCAGAGTATGTGAATATTATCTGTACTTTGCCTCTCGTCCTGAAGATGTTGCCATCATTCAAGTTGATCCACTTAAAACAAAACAAAACAAAACAAAACAAAAACAAAAAAGGATCACGGCGAAAGGTCACGGTAGCCAATTGAAGCCAGCGCCATGTCACTATATCGCAAAAACAAAAAAGGATCACGGCGGAAGGTCACGGTAGCCAATTGAAGCCAGCGCCATGTCACTATATCGCCAGTGACTGGACTCTCAAACCCGGGCTGTCCACATCAGCCACACAGCAAGGAACATTGCAGCATTGTTGAATGAGGCCTTAACTGAGTGGAATATTACCCAGAAAGAACCAGCTCTGGTTACCGACAATGCAGCAAATATGGTCCGTGCGGCAGAGCTAATGAATGTGCGTCACTTCGGTTGGAGTAAATGAAAACACCGAATGTAAGTTGTATCAGTGTAGAATGTGTTTTTTTGTTCATTTTGATTAGAACTTCCAAATGGCATTTTCTTTGTGACAATTTGTTATTAATATATTTTAAATGAGATTTTTAATTGTTTTATCTTTAAGCAGCAAGGAAGTAACGGTGCTTGTGGTAAAGTCACTGTGCCTGTTCAGCAGAACGACAACTCCCTGGGTCCTCGTGATGATGTAGGAGATGCAGAAGCCCCCACAGTACCCAAGAAGCCAAAGACATCTGCACTGATGGATCTCCTTGGACCAGCTTATAAAGCAGCAGCCCCAGAATCAAAGAAAACTGTGACTGAAATGGCAAAAGAGGAAGGGGCAAGGTATAGGGAAGCCATTCCTGACCTACTCTCTGAAAACCTACTAATCTGGTGGAAGATGCACGCATAAGAGTATCCTCTTTAAGCACAACAAGCAAAGCGGTATCTCTGTGTGCCTGGAACCTGGTAATAAAAAAATGAGTAGGCTTTAGTAAAGAACTGTTAGTTTTATGGACAGTTACTATGTTTTGTATACACAATGTCCACAATGTCCAAAAAGACAAAGGCTTTATGGGCCTGTGTATAATTCAATATGTTTTGAATTTTGAAATTTGTTTTATTTCTTAAACATGTTTCAAGTTGTTAATGAATTTCACTGTTGCACATTTACAATGTTTTTATATTTTTTACAGTAATGTGTTTGTGCTTAGCCTGTGTGCATTGTATGTGCATGATTTATTTTTACAGTGTTTGGTTACTGTACTCAAAGTAAAAAGTAATTCAACATAATTGTGTGGGTTCTATTTTTAATATGAATGTGTATTTCATTAATATAGCTGCATAGGAGGGTTTCAGTTACCAGCATATATATTTAAATATGGATTCCATAATTCGTAATCCTCATTAAGGACTAGAGAGCTAGCTACTGTTCCATTACCCTATTTGTTGGGCAGCACCACTCACAACTCAATTCCCGTTTAGACCACCAACATCTCCCAACAAAATGAATCAGTCTTATTCATTTTCACACAATGGACACTAAACAATCTAGCAAACTGTTTTTACTGAAGATAGAACTGAAATATACATGCAGACATTCAGAGGATGAGTTATAGGACCATACCTCAGTGATTGAAATAAGTATGCTGTTACTGAGATTCCACAGGAACATCCCCGTTGCCTAGTTTCAGTGTCTTAAAATAACTTTCTATGTAAACAGTAGTTTTATGCTAAATGAAGACCTCTACTGGCTAAACGTTTTCTAAAAGTTATCAATCGTTGCAAATATGAACATTCCGTACTAATGTTTTGTATGTTGCACCTAAATATCTAGTTTTGTGAAGTTTAAGCAAGTAGCATGAAGCAAGTTTGAAAATTCATTTGTGGTTTAACAGGATACTGTCAGACACAAAGCTGACAATTTTAACGCCTACTGTGGAACTGAAAACAGAAACAGAGCAGCAGTCATTTATGTCAGATTTGCACTCTGATTATTAGGGTTTGTTCATTATCAGTGCTGAGGCTCTTAAACCAACAGAGCTGAAGCTCTGGTTGTGTTTGAACTCTCTCCTCTCTCAGTCT